AGACCTTAACTTCCTTATAGGTTTGTAGCATGTTACTTTTTAACTTATTAATAATGGGTATTCATTTCATTCACCTTGTTGCACTTACATTGACAAGAGCTGTAACTACATTAAATACTATGGCATTGCATTCTTTTTGATGTTGTTAGGGTCTCATGTTGCCCAGGCTGATGCTGGAGATGCCCTGCAGATATGAGTGTATCTGAACTCCTAATCTTCTTGCCTCTACTTCCCCAGTGCAGGATCACAGGTGTACACCTGCGTTTTATTCCTACCTCTTAGTCCAGATAAATAGTATGAGAGCTTTAAAAACAAACAAACAAAAACACTTCCATGCAAAATCTTAACAGCTGAATGCTTCAGTTTTCAGTTGCAATCAGATTCTCGTCTATTTTGAACTTGTCGATGATATCATATCATCTCCACTAAGTATCCAACATCATTTCCTTTTCCCCCACATTATATTTCCCCCGTTTCCACCATGATTTCCCCTTTTTGTAGAGATAACTATGTTTTTTTTCTTCAGAGTTAATTTAAATTGTTAATAATCAGCTATAGAATCTATGTTCATGAACTCATTTTTTTTTTAAATCTGTAGTTCAATTTAACCTAGTTCTAGGGAAACAGGAGTGAAGCCACATGTGTTGGTAGTTCCCATTAACTAAACAGTACACAATATATAATAATGTAAAGAGTTCCCCTCTAGAGGGTAGTGATTCATCTTAAAAAAAAAAAAAAAGAAAAAAAAAACACTACACACCAAAGAAAGACAAAGGTGTTTGCCAGCATTTTATTTTAAAAGATCAAAAATAAATATTGCACACGCACACACACATACAAGGGAACAAATTCATTGATATTTGTATTTTCCAACGCATACTTTCAATACATGGCACCTTCATCTTCTTTATTTAGAAAATAGATCGTTATTGGTCCGTAACTGGTATGAACAGTCTCTGTGACTCTGGCAAATAACCAGGAGCCAAGTCCATATAATAAAGTTGGAATACCTAGAAAACAAATGAATATGTTACGTAAGAATATCAGTGCTTATTAATCATGTACTAACATGTCATGTTACTGATCGTGTAAACAGTCTTCAGCAATGTTAACATAAAGCTATAGAAACCGAAATATTATGACCAGATGCTCACTATGATTACTGAAGAGCTGGACTTTATCTCTTTGTGGAACACAGTGGCAATTATGTGAGCCTAGATTTTTTAAAAACATAGATGAGATTGATGTAAACTTTAATGCAGAGCACTTGCTTAATTCATTATCATCAATTAATTGTGAAGTAATTTTATAAGAATATCCATTAATTTGGTTGTAAATGTCCCTGATTATTTGCTTTAAGCTAAAATTACTAGGTTCACTTTGTTGTTCTTTAAGTTAGATAGGAACACTGATGGATAAAGAAATTTTTGTTCAAATTAGAAACTGGGTCAAATAACTGTCTTCAGAATCTAACTTTTAAGAAGATTTTAGTGTATCAGTATAACAAAGAACACTCTCACTAGTAATTTTGTAATTGATTTGAAAACAATCTTGTTTCAGCTTATCTGCATGGACTCCACAAAGTCTCTCTCTCTTTGAAGACTGCCATTAATAAGGTTTTCCTGTTTTATTTGAGATTAACTGCTGCATGTTATATATCAAACTAAATGCATACCATCCAGAAATATGGATTCATATGCATATGATGCTAGTTGGATGCAAAACAGACTTCCATAATTCTTAACTTTTAAGGCACTTATTTAAAATCAATGACTATTAACATATTTAAAAACACTCTGCATATATGTGTGTATGTGTGTGTGTGTGTGTGTGTGTGTGTGTGTGTGTGTGTGTGTGTGTATAAAACTACAGGCACACAGATCAAAAACAAATATTGTAGGCCCTGCACAAATATTAATTTTATTGCTTCCATGTGGGAAATGGGCAGAAAGAGGCAATTCAAAAAGATAACTGCTCATTTGGAAAATCTCTTTCTAGTTAATAGAGAAAACAACACATATTCAAGACTGATCCTACTGCTGATTTTTCTTCGTTTCCTCCAGGAATATCCTCACTGTGATATGCTCCCGTCGAATCTCTGTGTTTGAGTACTCTGTGATGCCAGAGCTAATGGAGGAGGCTTCAGCAGCTGGTAATGAGATGGTGGGGTGGGGCGCCTGATGCCTCCTGTTCAGGTACTTTTCTAATTTTAGGAGCATACTGGGTTGCAGCTTGTAATTTATTACCACAGAATTGCCTGGAACGCCTATGGAACTTTCTATACTACACTGCTGTCTTTGCCCTGGTCATGCCCCAAAGAATCTCAAATATCTCAAGGGACTGCCACAAAAATAAATCCTCAAAAACTACAATAATAAAGCTATTTGCAAATCATTCATCCAAAAAGAAAAAGGAAAAAAGAGAAAGCAGATTAAGTGGTGTGTGGAGGGAAGGCAGACAGACAAGAGAAGAATGTGACAGGGAGGCGTATGTAAGAAAGGAGTGTGGGGGACAGGTGGAAATAACAGTAAAAAAGGAATTCCAATACGACGACACCACCACTCCAAAACCTGAAACTCATGGGATGAGGAATTTCAAAGGCCTCAGAAGCAATTACTAGTTTTCTCTATAGACTGAGAGTAAGACAGACACAATGTGCATTTTAAATCAACACTAAGGGTTGAGTGTAAGGAACAGTAGTGACCCTTAGAGTTATTTTTTATGGTATTTATCACAGCTTTCAGATAAATATTCTTTTAAAATTTATACTTTTGAAAACAAATCATGTAAATAAATGCCCCCTAATAAAATAAAGAACTGATTAATGATTACTAGTTTAATAATAAGCGCACGAAGGAAACATTATCAGTCATGCTTACTGACAGGGGTCAGAGTTGATAAGGGAGTCAGAAATTCTCTGTTGGAATGAATGAGTTTTTTTGTTTTTTTTTCCCCACCCTAGAATGCAAGAATAATGCATTATTAAGAAAGATTTGTTGCCTCTGTATTTCACAGATTAAAAATATTTAGTTTGTATGCTTCCAAATAAAAATCTTTAAGATTCTATGAAATGAAAAATTCAGACTACCAGAGACAGAGAACATCAAAATGAACTTGAGAAACAGTTCTTTGCATAATCATTCATTTTGAGTTAACTGAACAGTAGGTAAACAACTGTCGAATTAAGGACTTAAAACAATTGGAACTTTGTAGTAAGGCTTCTATTACCCATTTATTCCAACTGTAAGTTGCTTTTCTTAAATCTTAATTTATTTCCCAGCAGGATACTTTTAGACTGATAAACCATCAGTAAAATGTCAGTTCCATTGAAGGGAGGGTGGAGAAGAAAGGCTAAAAATGAGTAAACAGAAATCCTTATTATTTACAAAACAGAAAATGAATTATTCTGTTTACTACCTATTTAGAAGGGAGGACGAGGAATAAAATCCTTTGTATTCTTATTACTGACCAAGGACTTCATGATCCAGAGGGGCAAACTGGATCCTGTTACTTAATTCATATTTTCCTTAGTTTAGATAAAAAAAAAACATAATAAACATTACTAAATTGGTAAAAAGCCCAGAAAAATATTTCAGAGAAAGACAATTTGTATTAAAGCACACAGGAACACTTTCTCTCTTTGCTGTACTTAAAACTCTTCTTCCTATTTAAGTTGCAGTTTTTAGAATTTCTAGAAGCCCACAGACTATTAAATTGCTCTTCCACACTAAAAAGCAAACAAAAATCACCCCTACATCTGTTGTTTTTTAAAAAGATTTTACTTTTCTATGTGGGAATGTAAATATTTTTTTTCTTTTGATGTCTTAATGACCTACACCTAAAAGAGAGCCCTTAATCATGACAGTTATCTTAAAGGAAATGTTAATTTTAAATTGTGACATTTTAAATAAAGGATTCAGTCTATTCAGTTTACCTATCACTTGGCCTTACAGTTTTCCTATCTGTCACTCTATGTTTGGAAAAGAATGATTCCTACTGACTCTGAAAATGCTAAAAATAAACTTATTTTCACAACTAGTTAGCACTCCAGCTTTTCCACATACTTTCAGCCTCAAGTTTCTAAATCATCACATATCAACTTCATACCAACCTTAGTTAGTGGGCATGCTCTGTATAATCCATCAGCCAAGTAATGAGACATTTTAAAAGGATTAAATACATTGCTGTATAATCTCCTTCCTGGATTAAGCCTAGGGCAGTGCCAGTGAGACAAAAGTTCAAAAATCCCTTAAGTGTGATATGAGTTATAAGCAGGAATGACTATGCCTTATTCAATTTAATAAACTATTGGATTATCTGTAACACTAGTACAGTTGCACAGAGTTTAATGTAATTTTGGATTAAAAAAATTGGGGTTATACTGATTCAGCTTCCTTGTGCAGCGTTTGAGTGACTGAAATCTGTATCTAATTTTTTTAGTAGCTATTAATAGGTCCAAAACATCTTGAGGACTTGTATTTTTTCCGTCCTCTATAAAATTCTATCACCTCTACGATCCATGACCTGCTGATAAACCGAAAAGAACATAAACATCTAGCGGGAGGAGATAGTCAGAATTAGATCTTCAGGAACTAAACAGGCAGCCTCTTTCAAGTATCTTTCAAGTTCTAGCACCTGAGAAAATTATGACTGGAGAAAACCTACTGCTCTTAGCGAAACACACTTGGAGAGATTTCACAAAAAGAGGACAAAGAAACTTTAGAAGTCCGTCCAGTTTTTGTCCTCCAAAGGCTCCCAGTGATGAGCGCGGGAATGTCTCCTGCCAAGCAACTTGAGAGCCACTGTCCAAGCGGGGGCGTTTCCTGACTCGCTCCTCGCTGCCCAAGGCAGGGTGGGTCCTCCTGCCTGGACAGTGGCAGGGCACGACCTCAAGGGAGACGCAGGCAGCCCGCTGGGGCTGAGCGGCGTGCTAGTGGGCCAGGAGCCGCCCCGCCAAGGCCGGAGGCGTCCCTGGGTCAGGCGCGGGCGCCGCCACTCACCCAGGTTGATGACCTTGAGCGCCGTGAAGAAGCGGTCCTGCGGGGCCAGGTCCTGCCACGGCGCCTTGGAGCAGTGGTACTTGATGAAGGGGAAGCAGCCGGTGCGCAGGACATGGTAGTTGGCGCCCGGCACGGGCCAGTTGAAGTGCGACAGGCCGAACTGGTCGTTGTGGACCGCGCTGTAGGGCACGCAGAAGGAGGTCCAGTGCGGCAGGCGCCGCTGCAGCAGGTGCCGCGTCAGCACCTCCGAGGCGCGGGGCTTCGGGCGGGAGGCGGCGCCCAAGGCCCAGGGCCTGGCCAGCAGCAGCCGCAGCGCGGCCTCGTGGGCCCTCCGCAGGGCCTCCATGGCCGGGGCGCGCCCAAGAGCAGGCCCCGGGCCCCTGGGGGCGCGCCTCTGGGGGCGGGGCCGCCCGGAGTGCGTGCGCATGCGCGCTCCTCTTCTCCCCCCCCCCCCCCCCCCCGGCATGGGCTGGGAACGCCCAGCGGGCGGCGCGCGGGTGAGAGCGCCCTGGGTGGTCTGGGGTGTGGCGCGTGCGCAAAGCGGCCCGTGGCCCCTGGCGGACGGGAGGGCGGAGCGACTGCGCAAATCCGAAAAAAAAAAAAAAAAAAAAAATGTCACCTGTGGCCTCAGGTATCATTTGTAACCGTGGAGCGGGGAGAGAAACGCGAATGTTAAACAACCCACCCGAGCGGCTGACTGGTCGATTCAGGCGCTGGGCTCCTCAGGGATGCTGAGGAGAGGGAGGTGTGCTCCGGCAAGTGAGCTGACACCAAGGCCTGTTAATGGCCTGGCCTCGACATCTGGTGACCTCACAGTGGCGTTCACTGTCCAGACTGAATCCTACCTAGATAGTGCAAGATTTAAAAGGGTCAGGTGTGGTAGCCCTTGCCTGTAATCTCAGCGCTGAAGAGGCTGAGGTGTGAGGATGGGGAGTTGGAGGCCGGGCTGGGCTACACAGAGGAGAGCCGGTCTCAAAAAACAAACAAACAAACAAACAAACAAAAACCAAGCAAACCTGAAAAGAAGAAAGGAGTCTTCCTCAGTCAGTGCCCTGAAGCTCAGGGACACCTCCCTCCTGAGAACACGGTAAATACCAGAACAGGATATGGTAGTCACCCACCTATATAATCCTCAATTACTCACTTTTAATCTATTATTGTAAGGAAAGCATTTCTCAAACTTTGTAGCATATTGAGGTAATGCCTTACATACCACTTGTTTTCTGAAGTATTGTTACTCTTATTTGTCCTCAACTTACGTGGAGAGAACACATAAATAGGAAGAGGTTTCTGGAAAACACCTTATGCAAATGAGGTAATTATGTGTGTAGGTACCATATAACAATCATTATTTGCTGAAAATTCAAGAAGGATGTAGAATTTGTTTTTTATAGTCTCCACTTTTGAGATAGTTAACATTGAGTTCATTCTACGAAGAGGTCAAATATTTAGGAGGTCTTGTAGTTATACAAATAGTTTGAACTTTATAAGATTCCCTATTAGATACCAATTTTTTTCAGAAAAAAATTTAGGTGGAGGCATGATGTGTTTATCTATGAAGAAGAATAACTAGGAGGATTATTGAAGGGAGGTGGGGAGATGCTGCAGTGCCATCATTTTCAAAGTTTTAAAAATAATAGAGTCCTTTTTCAGACAAAATCTGTCACAGAATTCCAACATATAAAGTAAATTATAAATTATATCGTAGGTAAACTGGCTCCACAACAAAATCAAGGATGGTTTGTTGTCTTTGGGTTTTGTTTTGAGTGGGGAGGGGATTTATTAGAGGTAAATCAAGTAGATAAAATAATAAACGTGGCATTTGCAGAACCAGATTCAGAAAGTGGGAAAGAATGGGGGGAGTCTGGACAGTGAAGACATAGGTAAGAGCAGACCGAGAACTTAAGTAGTGAGGATGCGCAGCCAGGCCCACTGTCGCTGCACTTTCAACTGTGGTTTTTTAAATTGTAAAACAGTGACAATTATAGCTTCTGTTCTTTCCTACATCTTCTGCTTTGGCTGTTTGCTATTCAGAAAAATTCTGATCTTTCCAGAGAAACAATTTTTTAAAAAAGTGGATTTTTAATGTTTCACCTTAAGCATGAGCACATGCTTCTGATTTATCTATCCATCCATCTATCTATCTATCTATCTATCTATCTATCTATCTATTCAAATGGCAGCAGAAAATTAATTATGAGAACTACACTAAACTAACCTAACATCAAATTAACATGTGGTCAGATAGCAATGTGTTAACTTTGGGCATTATAGACTTTTTGATGATATAAAAATTCAATTAAAAATGAAATTGAGTTAAACTCGTACTGAGATCCTGGGATACAGCATGTCTGGGAAACTCTAGGTTCTGTGGCATATTAAAAAAAACAAAACCCACTGATATAGATAACCAGATATTACATAAGTTCACCATTTTTTTGTCATTATGCAGGCTTTGAAAAGTGCTAGTGATCAGAAGGACTAATGTTGGACGATGCTGTGTTGGCTCAACCTTGTCACAGGTAAAGATTTTCCCTAATGCAAGGCTGTTTGACTCTCCCTCTCTTTTCTAGTCTGATGTAAAACGTTCTTCTAATGAAAGTAGACAGATGGTGGGCCATTCTCCATTTTAGAATGTTCTAAAGACCAGAAGAAATATGTCAACAAACATTGTGTTCACCCCACTAATAGGCCAAAACTTGGGAGTCTTCTAATCATGCAAATTGTTTGTTACATATATGTATATAGAATAGTCTCCTAAATATTAAAATATTCTCCTAAAATCATCAAGGAAAAGGCAATCCAATAGAAAGAGAACTGGACATATCAGAAGTGAAGACATCCTGGTATGCAATAAATGTGTAAAATATACATAATAAAGCATCATTTGAGAAGTGAAAATTAAAGTCACAATACAGTAGCATCATATACCCTTTAGAATTGCCAAAGTTGAAAAGACTGAAAATTCTAAGGGTTGAGGATATGGAGAAAAATTTTCCAAAGTGGAGCAATTGGATTTTTTTAAGACTTATTTCTTTATATTTTATATGTTTGGGTGTTTTACCTGCCTGTATGTCTGTGCACCATGTGCATGTCTTGTGCCAGTAGAAGCCAGGAGAGGGCATCAGATCAGTTGGGACTGGAATTACTGCTGGTTGTAAACTACTATGTAAGTGCTAGGAATTGAACCCTGATCCTCTAAAAGAGCAGCCAGTGCTCTTAACCCTGAGCCATCTCTCCAGGAAAGTGGAATTCTTACCTACTGACCCTCCTCCCCGCTCTGTGTGTGTGTGTGTGTGTGTGTGTGTGTGTGTGTGTGTGTGTGTGTGTGTGTGTGAGATAGTCTTGTTATTTTTCACAGGCTGACCTTGAACTTGCTCTGCTCTCTCCTCAGCCTCATGTCCATGGCTTTGCCAGACATATTATAGGTGAATATATGCATGCCTTATGACACAGATCTTGCACTACTCCTAGGTCTATACCTATATTGTTTTATTTGGGCAACCATAACAAAAATTTCACTCACTGGGTGGTTTTAAACAATAGAAATTTATTTCTGACCGGGACTATACAAGGTATTGACCAGTTCCACTCCCCTGAGAGTTTTCTTCCTGGCTTGCAGATGGCTGCCTTATCACTGTATCCTTATATGGTGGACCTACTTTTTACAGTCCCTCTCAGGTTTCAGCTCCACTTTGGTGAGCACCTCTTCTCAGGCCCTATTTCCAGTTGTAGTCATCCTAGGGTTTTGGCTTCACCATATGAGCTTGGATGTATGTGGAGGGAAACACATTCAGTCTATGACAATACCTAACGTAAATTGTGAATTATGCTCTCCAAAGCACATTTACTGGAATATTTACAGTGTCACTATTCATATTTGTAATATTTGATCTATGAATTACACATATCAACTCTGTGTCCATGGTTATATATCTTATTAGTGTTTTCAGTTGTGTGGAGCTTATTCAGAACCTCGTGCATGCTAAGCAACTGTTAAGCTACTGAACTACGTCCCCAACCCTTATTGCTAGTGTTTATTAGGGATCTAGAGAAAAAATATCTCTTTACACCTAATCTTGTGGATATGTTATTGTGGGGGGGGCACACACACTATTTTCATCTTTTATTGTAGGGTCTTTTTGTTTGCTTGCTTTTTTGTTTGTACTTTGAGACAAGGTCTCAGTTGTCACCCAGGCTGACCTCAGACTTAGGAACTGAAGCAGTCCTGCCACCTCAACCTTTCAAGTAGCAGGAATTGTAGGTGTGTGTCACCACACCCAGCTCTCGTGTTGTTTTACAATCTTAGAGGGAGATCCTGATTTACTTCCCATTACCTGAAGAAGTTTTGCTTGCTGAATTTCATTGTCCACGGCCAACAAGAAGAGTGTCGTATAAGCTAGTTAGAGAAAGTAAGATGACATTTACATAACTTATTACAGTGTGTTGTTATAATTCTTATATTTAATTTTTAGTAACTCATTACCAACTTATTTATAAATTAATATTTTTGATCAATATGTATGTATAGGAAAAAGCAGGACATATAGGGTTCAGTATATCTGAGGTTTCAGATATTTTCTGGGGCATCTTGGGAAGTATCCTCTGTAGATAAGCAAACACCACTGTATTGTAATAATGTGATTTAAAACAGAGCAGGATTAGGATGTAGATTTTAATTCACTTACATTCTCAGAGGAAAAATTAAGGAAATCATACTACCATGCATATGTCAGCATGTTAGTAAAAGACGGAGGGCATAAAAATGTGAGATTAAAATGTTTATATTTAAGATTTCATTTAGAATTTCCTGTTTGGGGCTTAATGACTTTTGGTTCAGGGAAGTAAGACTAAGGAGATGATTTTGTGCAATCTTACTCCATCATGGTTAGATGTAATCACAGGTACCAAAGTAGCTTCAGACCCAGGCTTCCTTACACCCATCTCTGCGTAATGGCTCAATGCCCTCTAAGCCAAGCTCAACACTAAAAACAGCCAAATAAATATTCATTAATTATCCCACTCTCATCAGTGGCAAACACTACTTACTGCTCAATCCTGTACTCTTACATCATATTGTCAAGGACAATATATATGGGCTTTATGCAATATTATCTTCATGGAAGAAGTTGCTAGGAAAGGAAGGGAATGCTGTATTCTTTGTTTTTAAATATTTATTTTTATTTTATGTTCATTGGTGTTTTGCCTGCATGTATGTCTGTGTGTGGGTGTGAGAAGCCCTGGAATTGGAGTTACAGACAGGTGCTGGGAAGTGAACCCGGGTCCTTTGAAAGAGTAGCCAGTGCTTTTAACCACTGAGCTATCCCTCCAGCCCCAGAATGCCATATTCTTATCCAGATCTTGAGTCTTATGAACTCATTGATGTTCTGACAGCTCCAAGGAATTGGCCATTTGCTGGGGCTGCTGATGTAAAGCATATCACTAAGAGTTACTCTGGCAAAGTATTTACTGTTAATAGTGGATCTGATGACTTTGTCTCCAAACACCTTGTGTCTAAACACTCTCTCTTGGTGTCTCCCTTAACTGTGATAATAAACTCTCAGTGCTGAGGATATATGTGTGGTTTCTAAACCTTTGTGACTCCAGTACCTAGGGCAGCACTTGACATGTAGTAAGTGCTATTCTTGAATAATTGGGGATGGATGAAAGTGAATACAATTAGTATATTTAAGGGATGTTGGGAAAGGAACTTATACTATGTAGGTTCAGTGGTTTTAGTCTAATTTAGTTAAAATGTTAATTTGGGCAGTTGGCAAAATTAAACTGCAAAATAGGTATGAAATGTATCCAAGATCATCTATCAAAATCAAGTAGAAAATCCCTGGCCTCTGGCTACCAGCGAGCTTTTCATTAAAGGCAGTTCTACCCCCATTGTCTGGTGTAAGTGTTGGCACTCTGAAATCTGGCAAGAAGATATGTTTATAACTTTGTAAACCAGATAACCATACATGCTGATAGATAATGGAGTCTATCACATGGGCATGTTCCCGGGATTGCAAATCTTCATAATATATAGTCAGTGTTTGGAGTTGCCCTTGAAAAGATGGCCAAATAAATTCAAATTCATATTATGCATGGATCAAAGTTATTGCCCTGCTATTAAAAGGAACCTTATTGACAGACATATTTGTGAAAAGTCTGTGGTATTTTTGTAACATGAATCATTTTCAAATCAAATCCCAAAGGTGTGTTGGCTCCATTGCTGGTCTTCAACTGACAGTGGCTTTTAACCCTTTATCTTTAACTGTCTCTGCGCCTCCCCAGTCCCACTGTCAAGTAGTTAATGATCTATAAACAGATACTGCCCTAAGGGAGCTCTCCATTTAAAGGGGCCCTGAATCATTTTATAATGGAAATATAGCAGAGTAGTCACTGATTTATGATTTGTCAGTAAAGGTTTTTGAAGTGAAATTCTGTGATATTTTCAGATGGAACAGGATTTTCACTTCTATCTCATCATACTACGTTTTCTCCATTTTTCCCTCTTTGGAGAAAACTTTCAAAAAGTTGATCTGCATTTATGTTTTTCCTTGTATGAAACACTATTTTTCCTGTATGTCCATGTTTTAGTTTCTGAAGCTAGAGAGTACTAATAACAATGTCATAATATCCACCAATCGCTGAACATTTATTATATCTTGGTTGGTTTGTATCTATTGTCTCATATAAAGAGTTCTCAGCAGTGTATCATTTCCTTATTGCCACACTGGGGAAATAATTTCAGGGATTAGGAGGGTAGTGTCATGTGCAGCCAAGACAAGCTGGAATCTGAACCTACATAAGCAGAGCTATAACAAACTCATGGTTTGTCAACAGTTTAAAAGTGTCAGATTCAGATATAAATGTGGGTAACATGCTGCCGGCCGCAGGAATATATCATAAGAACTCAGCTGGTTATGGCAAAGTCACTACCTGGAGGAATCAGGGAATTCCTCCAGAGGAAGCCAAATCCCAAGGAGTTTTTGGTGTTACTTGGCTTGTTATATATCAGCTGTATTCTGTTATGAAAATCACGTGTGCCTTCATAGTTTTCCCAATTGACTTTTTCCTAAGAAGGGCTAACAGTGTGGACTGATCACTCTCTGGACATACACATTCCAGGTATTTGGAGAACAGCCTCAGGAAAGGCTTTCTCTGGAATCAGATATCTCCCTTAGCCACTTTCAAGGACTACAGGAAACACTACCCAGAGGGGCGCCCAACTTCGAGGATAGCAATAATAACAGCCCACATGCAAATCTCCTGACTTAAATTCCACAAGGAGACACCACCCAGGTGGGCGCCCAACTTCTGAGGACTAACAATGATAGCAGCCCACACACAAGTCTCCTGACTTAAGGTAAATTCCACAAGGAGACACCACCTAGGAGAGGTGGATGTTAAGTAATAGCTTTACACAATTTAGCTCGGACCCTCCCTTTATATTCTGGGACTTCCAGGGCACAGAACGGAGAAGAGAAAAGAGAATGGAAGAACTAGATGGGTAAGAACTTGAGAGGAA